TGCAAACATCAGCATCGTTCCACACACACACACACAAAAAACAGCGCGTCAAAAACACACACGCACCGCACTGCTCGGCATACTGCAGGTTCAGGTTCTGGTACGCCAGCCGCGAGTTCTCGAGGCTCCTCGAGAGCTGGGCGATGCTCTGCTCGAGGCCCTGGATCTGCGTGAAGCTCGAGCGCTCCTTGGCCTTGAGCTCCTTCTCCTGGCGGCGCGCGCCGCCGAGCTCGCTGCGGAGCTCGTCGAGCCGCAGGTGCATGTCCTCGATCTCCGCCTCGCGCTCGGCGAGCCGCCGCTGGAGGTTGTCCTCCGTGTCGCTCAGCTTGCGCCGCAGCTCGTCGTTCACCCGCTGCAGCGCCTCGGCGCGCTCCGCCATGTCGAGCGACACCGTCGACGTCGTCGACAGCCGCTCGTGCAGGCGCAGCAGCGTCGGGTCGTCGTCGTCGTCATCGTCGTCGCCGTACAGGCCCTCGTCGTCCGAGTTGCGCGCGCGCGACGGGAGAGGAAGCGCCGAGAGCGGCCGGTCGTCGACCTCGAAGGACAGGTCCGACATGTCGCGGTCGCTCGGCGGCGGCGACATCAGCCCCGTCGTCGCGTGCTCGTGCTGCTGATGGTGGTGGCGGTGGTGGTGGTAGTAGCCGCCGCCGTCGCTCTCGGGAGAGACGGATCGGTGGCGGAGCGCGAAGCCGTCCAGGCTGCTAAAGTGTCCGTGCGACCTGGAGCGCGAGTGGGGGCGCGAGTAGGAGCCGACGCTGACGGGGGAGGCCGACCCGGATTGGCGTGCAAAGTACGGGTCTGGGGACGTCGGGTTGGAGGGAGAGCGCACCCGCCCGGCAGTGGACCCCTGCGAGCGCGAGTAGGCCACAGGTGGTGCCGAAATAGAGGTCTGCATGCGTTTGAGTGATCGCCCTGCGACTATATGCGTCTTGCTCACCTCTGAATCACTCAAGTCGCGTCCAGGAGCTCCGGCGTCACTGCTCCGGCGCTGTGGGGGCGGCCGTCGCGTCCAGCTGGTCGGCGCATTGGACAGCGGGGTGGTCCGCCGCCGCCGGGTGGCATCGAAAGGGGAGTCGCGCATTGGCGTTTTTGGCGGCACTAGAGGCGGCTCCGCTGATGACGACCGACTGGGTGGTCGATAGACTGAAGTACCAATGGATTCTGGGCTGGACGAGCGGGAGTGGTTGTCGTGCTCGTACTCGGTGAGGTCTTCTTGTCTTGCTCTCGCCATGGCCTCTGCATCGTCTTCAGGTGTCCCCTCTCGACCATCGCCGGGGCCGGCCGTCGTCCTCTGCGCGATGAACGCGAGCAATACCCGTGGTGTGACGGCGAGGCCGGGATTGGTCTCGATGAGGTCAATGAGCTGTTCTTCCTCTTCGCGAGTCATGAGCTCCAAAGCATTGTGGTTGTGCGAGAATGTCCGTAGAATGTCTACGAGGGCATGACCGGGTATGGTGGGGTCGCCGCCGTCGTCGGACGTGGACTGAGGATGTCGGCGAAAGAGGTCGTCGATTTCGCGTTCGAGGTCTACGATAGATTGGCGATTGCGTCCGTAGGTGGTGGTGGACGACATTACATGGAAGGTGGTATCAATTAATAGGGTATTGCGGGGGTATGAAGCGTGCAAGTGATGGTTTGGTTCAAGTTCTCGCCGTTCGCCCTTCCCTAGCAGACTGTCTCGGACAACGTGTTGACGCATATTTGTGCAATGTTCGGGCGGTGTTATTTCTCTCACACAAAAATCTATGGAGACAAAGGCGTCGGACACAGGCTTGGTGTTGCCAGCCGGACAAGGGCGGTCCCTGCAACTGACTCACAATCCCGAGACCCTACGGCAGCTTTCTGTCGTATGTCGGGATTTCCAAATCCGGGTGCCATCAGATGGAACTAGGCGCCGTTCTCGGGTCTCCAGTAAAAGACCGTGACGCTCCTCGAGATGTTTGCTATGGCTGGAAATCCGTACAGGTACGTACAGGATACATATTGGATGATACATGTTCCGACTTTGAGCTAGTCGAATGGCCTCCCCGCGGGTGATCCCATGGTCAAAAGCTGTATACCGGCGTGACCACAGTATACACCACCCGTGCACTACGTATTGCCTGAGACCTATGTCTTGAGCCGACACAGAACTTTTCACATGCTCCCTTCTCAGGTACCGACGTTCGCGGCTGCAGACATACGCGTTGCGTCGTGTCATGTTCAATACCTCGTTTGCACCACGAGTTCAACGGCACAATCGCGGCGGCCTCATTCTGGGTCGTCCCCAAGCGAACACGCGTTCTTTAATGAACGCACAGCCTATCTGCACATCCCCCCGATTTCGCGATACACATGGACGACGTGTTGGTTGCATATCGCAGCAAACGGATGCTCTCCTTTCGCGGGGGCGATG